AAAAAAAAAAAAAAAGAGGAAGACAAGAGCTCTACACAGGAGAGAAGCACAGGGAATCTCGGGAAGATGGTGAATGAAGATTCCAAAATGTTGAACGTGTAATATATGTAACATACTAGTCCACACCAGTAACAATAGTATTTAGATATCCTGAGGGTCGGCATTACTAAGGTCTGTGTTGGCACGGTTTTCTTCTTATGTAGGTGACAGAATGCTAACATCTGGCCCAGATTATTACCCGTGCTGTGCCTCTGTGTAATACTTCTGTGTGCTTAAAAACAAAAAACAAGCCGCACTCTTATCTTTCTGTCCAACTCTTTAACTAAATTCACTCATTTAATTTCATATAAAACTTCTTTGTTGAGTGAGGGGATGGGGTGAGGGCCATGCCTGACCTTGTCTGGTTACACAAGGGAGGACACCCCAAGTGCACATCAACCAAGGCTAATGGCTACAAGACAGGGATCACATATGCCTCTTTCCAATGTCTTTTATTCTATTCTGACACCAGTTATCCCTCCTGTGGCATTCTACTTCTCTACTGCGTTCAATAATTGTTGCCACAGAACTCATGATTATGGGCCTTGGTTAGGGAAGTTCATCAGTTGCCACAAGTTACGATCAGAACACATTAAGGATACAGGACTTTGTCCACAGCAGCGCCACTTCTCAGCTATTCCAGCAGCTATTTCTTTCGCTGGTCCTCAGCGTTCCACTCACAGGACTCCCTAACCTCTGCCGTGCTCTGTGGGCTGGGAATGCCGCCCCTCAATCACATGGTCTCAACGCTGCTCCTCAGCCCTTTCTTTTATTCTTGGCATGGTTCCACTTCTCTGTCTCATGGTCTAGGTGCTATAGCTTCTGGTGCCTCCATTTGGGCAGGGATCTCGCACTCTTTGCTGGTGGCTCTTTATTGATGGTCCAGATTTTCTCTGTTTCTACTTCTGAGATGGTTCAATTTCATACCCTGTGGAATGGCAAAACTGAGTAATTCCGGAGTTGGAGTTCACTACACTTATTTTCAAGATCCTATCTAGTCATTTGGTGAGAGTTACCAACACTATGGATAGAAGATTCAAACCAAGTACCTGTACTTCACTGCATTACCATATATACTCGAGTATAAGTCAACTTGAATATCAGCCGAGGCACCTAATTTTACCACAAAAACTGCATCAAAAATACGCTGAAAAAGTCAGCTTATACACGAGTATACTTGGTAATCTATTCATGAGAGTTAGAGGTGGCAGATAAGCCATGATAAACTGAACGGTCCACTCTGTTTAACCTAATGTCCAATGCTTGATCTCGTCTAACTGTGCCAGATGGTCCAGTGGAGGTGAGCCCTGTCTCCACTGACTTATTCATGACTTACCCACTCACTGATGTGCCAAAAAGAGCACTTGGTAGCTCTCAGGGAAGTTGCAGCCAGATCTGGTCAAGAGACACTGTTTACGTTTAATTTTCTGAGTACTTTTCTAATAGTGGATGGATGATTAAGTTTGTGCTTATTCAGTATTATTTTGTGATACATCCATACATAGTAAAACAAACAAAAAGGCAAGAGAATAATTAACAAATCATTATTTTTGAGAGAGGAAACTGAGATCTAGAAGAATACTCACAATCAACCTCCATATAACTGTTAATTTTATACTATTCTTTAACTAGAATGTATTAGTTTCAGAGTCTCTTCCATGTATAAACGTTCTATCATGTAATCAGAATTAGAAATGCCATTTCCTTAAAATAGAGGTGGCAATGATGGCAGAATAGTAAGCCCAGGATGCTATATCTATGTGTAAGTCTGGACTTATAAATATCTATAAGTCTCGACTATATCTGGACTTACAAATTGAAAGTTTACTGCATGCATTACAAATTCACGTTCTGACCCCCTAAAGATTTTTGAGTATGTATGCAAACAAAAGAAAATGAAGCAGTGGGAAATGCCAAAATTTTCCGTCTTTGTACTAGTAAAAATCTTGATGGTCTTGTCCCATAAAGATGACAGCATTGGAAACCCCATGGGACAGTTGCACTCTGCTACATTGAGTCTTCAATGTAGGATCCTATGTTGGAATCAACTTGAGGACATACAGTAACAACCTGTTAATTAGAGGTTTAGGAGTATTTGACAAAGATATCCTACATGGCTGGCTACAACAATAAACATCATTTGACAAACACTGGTGGAGCTTATGGAAGAGCACCATCTATTGGCAAAGGTCTACCCACATTTAAGGTTCAGACTCTAGCCTCATTAGGAATGTGATTGAAAAACAAATAAAAATAAACAAATTAGTCAAGTCATAATGACAGCCAAAAGGCCACTCATTTGCTTATCACTTTCATTTCTCCAAAATCAGATTGCTTGCCTATATTGCAAAGTCTAAACATGTGGGAAAGCTACGAATGTGAGAACGTCAGGAATTGCTATGATCTATTTAGAGCTTTAATGGCTACACAGTAGCCCAAATCTAGAATCAGTGGATGTGGAGATATTAAGAGTGGTAATAATGAAATCTTGTATTTGATTTTACTTATTACACTGGCCTAGATTTCAGACATACTTATAAAGAGTCCCTTGCCTTAGAACGTTTTCTCAATAAGAACTTAACACATGAACACATGTTTGGAAGGAGTTGCACTGGATTCCTTAGATACCATTAAACCCACAACACCAAGGTTCCCATCAGTTTTGCTTATTTAAGTCACTGAATAAACCGATGGTAACCAAGGTCATGGCTAAACATTTTTCATTTTTATTTAAGGAATGAGTCATAACATGTTTTCTGGAGGCATCTAACAAAAACATTGTAGGAGACAGATGGGAGACTTGCCCTATGTGTTACCTTCAATACCATACTGAAAAGCATTCTAAAATCTATGTTTAACATATACATCAAAACTCATGAAAAGACAGAATTTGTATAAGGTGAAAACTTGTCAAAGAAATAAAATTCAGATACTTGCTATCAAAATTGGTCATAGGTGGTAATACCACATCCTGTCAAAGGTGGAAGACTTAGAAGCTTCAGAAAAAGTTCGGCTCTCCCTGGTCTCGTGTATAAAACCCATCGCTGTGGACTTACTCCCAACTCCTGGTACCCCTGTCAGACAGGGTAGAACCTTCCCTTTGGGTTTCCAAGCCTGTGATCTTTATGGAAACGGACTGCTATGTCATTCTCCTGAAGAGCGGCTGGTGGATTTGAACTGCCAACCTTTTGTTTAGCAGTTGAGCATATAACTGTAGTGCCACCAGACCTCCTTAATATCTACAAAGGTATTTTAAAAAATCTTTAATGAGAATTATTTTTTTGTCTAATACAGAACTACTTTGAAAGAACATTTGAGAATTCACAGTGGAGAAAAGCCACATCTTTGCAGTATTTGTGGACAAAGTTTTCGTCATGGGAGCTCATATAGGTAGGTCGGGCCATTGTTTTCTTCTACATTAAGATAAAATTACCTTTCCATTTTAATTCTATTTTCTTTATCAGCTCATTAGCCAAATAAGTGGAATTAATATTTCTTAGCACATATTAACTTCAATATGTGTATGCCTTAAAATGCTGTCAAGTACTTTCTTATCACAAAGTTTACTTTACTGTTTAAGCTGTCATTATTTAAGAATTGATTTTTATTATTTCTCTTTGAGGCAATTAAAACTCTGGCATCTTATTTAGGATACGTAGCCACTCTTTACTATCAAGTAATATTTGGTATAAAAATATAGCAAAATTGAGAACCTAGTTTAGAAACTCTTCTATGCCATAATTTTAACTATTTGTTTTTATGACTGAATTCCTAACCACATTAGCAGTTTTTGAAGGATGATTTTGTGGAGTGTATGTTTGAATAAATAATAGGTTACCACTTATTATGTTTTATTAATACTCAAGAATTTTCATCTTTTAAGTCTTTACACTTTTACTTAATATTTAGCCTTTTTTGGGTCCCTGGGTGGAGCAATCTCCACTGCTAACCTAAAGGTTGTTTGTTCAAAGCCACTCACTGGTACTGGTAAAGCTAGGACTGATGATTTGCTTCATTAAGATTATAATCAAGAGAAATTTATGAAGCAGCTCTGTTCTGTAATGCATGCAGTCACTGTAAGTGGGAATAGATTTAATGTTAAGATCCCTAGTGGTGTAGTATGCTAAATGTTAGACTGCTTAACCTCAGGGTCACCAGTTAGAAGCTACTAGCAGCTACACAGGAGAAAGATGAAGCTTTCTAATTCTGTAAAGAGTGACACTCTTGGAGACATAGGCAGTTCTGCTCTGCCCTATAGAGTCGTTACGAGATGAAGTAGATTCCATGACAGTGAGATTTTGGGTTTTTGAGGGGTGTGTGGAACAACAATACAATAACAAGATATGTGTCCAATTTAAAATATATATTTTTAATCATTTTATTGGGGGGGGTCTCGTACAACTCTTATCACAATCCATCCATCCATCCATCCATTGTGTCAAGCAAATTTGTACATTTGTTGTTATTATCATTCGCAAAACATTTGCTTTTTACTTGAGCCCTGGGTATCAGCGCCTCATTTTCCCCCTCCCTGCCTGCTCCCTCCCCCCCCCCGAACCCTTGATAAGTTCTAAGTTGTTATTATTTTGTCATATCTTACACCATGTGACGTCTCCCTTTACCCACATCTCTCCTGTCCATCCCCCAGGGAGAAGGTTATATGTAGATCCCTGTAATCGTTCCCCCTTTCTCCCTCCCCTTCTCTCCACCCTCCCCATATCGCCACTCTCACCACTGGTCCTGAAGGGTTCATCTCTTCTGGATTCCCTGTGTTTCCAATTCCTATCTGTACCAGTGTACTTCCTCCAGTCCAGCCAGATTTGTAAGGTAGAATTGGGATCATGATAGTTGGAGGAAGGAAGCATTCAAGAACTAGAGGAAGATTGCATGTTTCATCATTGCTACACTGTACCCTGACTGGCTCGTCTCCTCCCTGCAGCCCTTCTGCAAGGGGATGTCCAGTTTCCCATAGATGGGCCCTGGGTCCCCACTCCACACTCCCCCTCATTCACAATGCTATGATTTAAAAATATATATATTTTATTAGTACTCTTCAAATGTTTATCTCGAGGCTTTAACATCTATACCTTTATTTGATATATACCTTTTATTTAGTATAAAGAGAGCATTTTCCCTTTACGTATTATTCAGTCAGTTTACTGGGTTATGGAAAATATAATTTCACATTTACAAACCAATGCAAACACACTGCTGTCTAGTTTGTTCTGACTCAGAGTCCATATAGGACAGAACAGAGCTGCCCCACTACGATTTCCAAGGCTCTGAATCTTTATGGAAGCAGACTGCCACATTTTCCTCCCACAGAGCACTGAGTGTGACTGAACCTCTGAACTTTTGGTACATAGATGAGTACTTTAACCACTGTGCCACCAAAGCCCCTTTTAGAAAGGATGTCGACAGCCTTCTTAAGCATTGGACACTAGCTAAAATGTGCAAAGTTAAAACCCACCAGCTGTTCCACAGGAGAAAGTTGACTCCATCTGCTCCTATACAGATTTACAGCCTCAGAAACTCTGTAAATAGGGTTGCTGTGGGTTGGAATTGACTTGGTGGCCGTGGGTTCGGGTTTTGGGGACTCGCTGCCATCATTTCAATTCAAGATTTCTGGGAGCAGACAGCCTCATTTGTCTCTTGTGGAGCAAGTGGTGGGAATGAACCACTGACCTGACAGTTAGTTACTGGCCCAATGTTTAACCCACAGTGAGACCAGGGCTCCCTTCTAAAGGCACAAAACAACCTTAAACATACTACCATCAAGTTGATTCCAACTCATCATGATCCTTTCTGAACTCTCAGTTTTAAGTGGAATCACTCCTTCAGATTTAGATACAAGATTAATCCACAATTACTTTTGTTTGCAATCATTACTGTATGCTTAGTCACTTGTTCATGTGCCCCGTTTTTCTGATTTTTATTCCTCTGTGCTTCATTTGGTATCTTAACATGTGACTCATTAAATAGACATTGGTTAGTTTGAATGAAATAGATTTAGAATCAAGAAATTAGGAATGACTTAATTGGAAGTTATAGGAGCATGTGCAAAAGTTGACATGCAGATTTGAAAGAATAAGTAAGATCCTTCATGTCAGGTAGTAAAAGAGGAAGACTTTGAAGTCATAGAGCTATAGCAATTTAAGAGGGGGATTGAGTAAACATCTGGTTTTTATAATCTGTCTTTATCACACATTTTCCTTCTTTGTTACCAGTGTCATTGCCCTTCTATCTTTTTTAATAGACTTCACTTACGAGTACATCATGATGATAAAAGATATGAGTGTGATGAATGTGGAAAAACATTTATTCGTCATGACCACCTTACAAAGCACAAAAAAATACATTCAGGTAAGTTGTATTTTGTAATGTCAATTCCAAGATCTTTTGAAAGAGCACCTGAACATAGTAGTGTAATATATCATGTCTATGTTGGCTATCATTTTTTAAACTTGGCAAAACTCCTCTCTAAAGCTGTTTTTAAAATCTTTTTTTTTTTTAAGCATCTAAAAGGGACTGAATTTTATGACTTCTTATTCTGTCATTTTAGTTGTTTGGCCACTTCCTTGTCATAAAGTATAATTTTAAAGTTTTATTTTCATCAGGTTCTCAGATTTTGCATTGTGCTTATTACAAACGAATATTTACAAAAGTTGCCATTGCCTCATAGGGGGGAGCAAAGTTAATAGTTTCTGTTTTGGTTGAATTGAGAAGGTGTTGGCAAAAGTTTAGTGTTTAAAGGGGAATGATTAGAATTGGAGTTTTGCATTGTAATGACTTTTGAAATCCTATTTTGGAAATAATACCTTAATAATCCTGATCCGTTTCAGATCTCTTGGGGATTCCTTTCATATTTTCCCCTCGAAATGCTGCTCAGAAAGTGCTGAAAGCCGACTGTGAGCACGGTAATAGGGAAAAACCATCTGTAGGAGCCGAGCTGGTGATTGTTACTGTCATCAACACAACTAAAATGGAAAGGATACAACAGAATTCTTTTCAAACATGGAAGTAAATAATAAACCCTATGAGGCAGATTACAATTATTATCACATTATTAAAGATGCAAAAATATTTGAGGACTTTTTTTTAAAACTAGAATTAGACATTTTCCATGTGAGGAGGCGTCTAAATTCCTAATGGTAGGGGTTCACATGGCGTATGTGCACACAGGTATTACATTTAGATCGTGGTTTTTTAGGACAGGTCCTGAACTGAATGTAAGGACTGGAATGAGAAATTGGACTCATCTTGAACACTCCTTTGTATCTGCATTGTGCCTCATTGCAAATGTAAGGAATCCCCACAGATGGAAAATCAAATACAAAAATCTGAAACTGTTTGGATCCTTTTTATAAAGAGTGAAATAGCCTCATCTTGATTTAATATGTATTTGTTTAAGGCGTTGGATATCGAACTATATGTATTGGTATGGGTGACATATATATATTCTTTTTAAAAATTATGTTTGGAGGTAGTTTTATTTATTGTGCTCTGTTACACTGAAGCATAAGATTCCAAGTCTATACCAAAAGGCTTCTGATTTCCTCTCCAGTGGGGAAGGAATTGTCAGGGAAAATCAAAGATGTTTGAATGAGGAATGTAGAGCAGATAGTCCAATATTAAGGGTGACTACTAATGTATTTCCACGATGTGTTCATACTGTTCGGTAATTTGTTATAGGAAAAATGAAAAGGTAAACATGCTCCAAACTAAAATACTTATCATCGTAATAATATTTGGGTCTTTACTTTAAGGTGAAAAGGTTCATCAGTGTGAAGAATGTGGGAAATGTTTTGGTCGTCGGGATCATCTCACTGTTCATTATAAAAGTGTGCACCTTGGAGAGAAAGTGTGGCAAAAGTGAGTGTAAGAAAATAATTTCAAAATTGCTATGACCAAGTCTTTATACTAAGAAAAGGTTGTAACTTCCTCATAGTCTGTTATCGTTGTTGCTGTTTTCCTGTGGGCTGGTTGACCAGCTCTCTTTATCCAGCTCAGTGGTTCTCAACCTCCCTGATGCTGCGACCCTTTAATACAGTTCCTCATGTTGTGGTGCCCCCCCAACCATAGCATTATTCTAGTTGCTACTTCATAACTGTAATTTTGCTCCTGTTATGAATCAGGTAACCCCTGTGAAAGGGTCGTTCGACCCCCAAAGGGGCTGCGACCCACACGTTGAGAACCGCTGATCTAGCTGCTCTAGCTTTTCTGCCGATTAAGGAGTTGAGCAAGGCATTACCTCTTCCCCACTTGTTTTCAGTAATTCAGAAGTTAAGGGAATAGTACATAGTGAATTTAATGACGATTATTCAATCTTTAGGGATTGTGTCTATTGTTGCTGAAGCTCTTTGAAATCAAATATATTACCTGTATATTATACTTAATTAACAAAATTGGGAAATGTTTATAGTCAAAAGTTAAGCCTATTTCTTAACCAGCATATGAGGCGATATTTTATTGGCAGTATATGCAGTCTTAGATATACATTTTTTAATACAATCAAGATGTCCAAATGTAACTTATGTTTGTTGCTGAATGTAAAACTTCCAAGAATTTAAATCTTAGACTAGGTGTTTTAGGACCAATGAAAAACAGTAGTCTTAGTTTAAGGTTCCAAGGAACTTGTATGATGACCTCAGCATATGCGAATATGAAGGAGCTTCAAAAGTTTATGGAAAAATGAAATGGAAAATTAATGCAATTTTCCCACAAATGTTTTGACACTCCTTTGTGTGTAGTCATATATAGAGAGATATTAAATACAAATAGAGTAAATAAAAACTTTGAAGATTTATTTTCTTCTTTGAATTCATATATTAATTTTATTTATTGAACTATTATTCACTCTGTGCTAGCAATGCTCCTAAGTGCTGGGATGCAAAGATATAAATGACATAAGGAAGAATGATAACTTCTATATACTGTATGATTGGACAGCAGATGAATTTAGGATTGTAGACTTACTTGCTCTAGAGTCACAACATTTTTTTCCCCATTATACTGTTCAAAATTACTGAGTGCCTCTAGAACTTTTGTTTATAGGTATGTTAGTCTGGGTAAACTAGGGAAATAAATCCACAGAAACTCATATGTATAGAGAGAGTTTTATATAAAGAATAAGTGTACATTAAGAAAGCATCCCAACCCAGTGCTGTCCAAGCCCATAAATCCAACATTAGCCCATATGCCCGACACTAATCTCCAAAGTCCTCCGCCATCTCACAAAACACACGCAATGACGCTGACTGCAGGAGGAAAGCCGACTCAGTGAGCCTATAAACATCTCAGCACTGTCAGGAGTCTCCACATGGCTGCTCCAGCACCCAGGGTGCAGCACCCAGGGCTGCATCAAGGTAGGTCCAGGCAGTTTCTCCTTGGGGGTGTCTTTCAGGAAGCGAGCCTTGCCACCTGAAGCAGGGAACTGACTAAGGCAGCTGCACCCTGGTCCGACCATCACAAAGCAATAGACCCGAGAACTAGAAAGGCAAGGCTCACTGAGCCATTTATCTCTCCACCCTTCAGTTAATCCCACATGTGTTTAGCGGCCAGATTGACACAATAAACCTTAACTATCTCAATAGGTTAGTCTTTACCAAGTTAGAAAGTAAAATAGAAAATTTTCAAACCATTGTTTTCTCATTTGAAAATAATAATATACCATAATGTATTAACACAAAGAGCGAATTTTTGAAGAAGCAAACACAAATATTTTAGAAGATTACCATTGTTTTATACATTTTTTGCAGATATTTTTAATGAAAGTTTAACCTTACACAGACAAATGGATTGTCATATCTGTTATAATGCTTTAATTTTGTTGAAATACATGAGAAAACATAGCGGCACATAGATAATATAGTTAGAAACAGGAGAAGTATTGTAATAGTATTTTCAAGTAATTGTGGATATACTTATTGATGCTACACCAAAACTAAACAAGTCATATTTCCTTGTACTGTAAAGTGACATCTAATTCAGCCTAAAGAAGTTTCCATACTTTTTTACATTCAGTCCATTGATCTGCCTTATCCTTTGAATGAATATTTTATCCATGCATTATTTTGTAATATTAGTTATTTTAGATTTGTCAGTAGGGAAATATGAACTCACTGAGTTCAATTTTCCAAATGTTAACACATTTCACAATACGTTGTCAATGAATCATATTTGTTAAATATTACTTCCAAACTTTCAGAAATGAATATTGGGAGACTATCAAATCACAGGGGCATCTATGTTTTTCAGAATTGGTGTAGTCACTTGTTAGCTCAGATTTCTTCAATCAGAACAAATATTGTCAATTGTTTTCCTTGATATGTTACTTCATTTAAATTTCAAGAACATTTCGACCAAATACTTATGTCTGTGTAAGCAAAGTTTGTTTTTCAGTCATACTTTCAAGTACAAATGAAATTCCATGAAGAAAGTAGCTTCTGCAGCTCACAACTCAAAGTTTCACAGGTGCTGTGTTGGAGACAGCCATCATAGTTTAGTGTGCTGTAGGAGCACTTTGTGTACCAGGGAGCTTTAAAAAGGCTCGTGGAAATTTTTCATTCTCTTTTAATTCCATTTTCCATGAACTTAAAAAAGAAAACCCTTATGTTCTTCTAATTTCATAGTTTACAGTCTAAATCTCATAGCAACCCTACATGTAGGGGAGGGTAGAACTATCCTTGTGGGTTTCCAAGACTGTAACTCTTTTATGGGAGTAGAAAGCCTCATATTTCTCCTGAGGAGCAGCTGTCAGTTTTGAATTGCTGGACTTGTGGTTAGCAGCCCAAAATGTAACCTACTTATACCACAGGTCTGCAAGGTAGAAATGTAATGTAGTTGGAGAATAAGTGGAGAATGCAGTGACGATTAGTGCAATTGACCCCATTGCCTTCTTGAGTTCTTGTGTGCCAGTAGTTTTACCCACTGTTCCTTTTGCATCGTTGGTATAAATGTCAGCACATGTATAAAAATTAATGATGTATTAGTGTGATTTTGACCTTAGTTTGGGTCTTGTACACTTATGAAAAGGTTTGGGGAACTCTTCTCCTGCCAACTAGATAATTCTGGTACTAGAACTTGCAAGCTCCTTTGGCTGCAAGGACTGGTGAATGGTTGATCTAGAATTTGGACTCTGACACACTCTTTTATGAAACTTGGACCTTATGCTATTGGGAAGCCATTGACGATTTGAAACATGAGAGTAACACAGTTGGATTTGTATTTAGGTAGATTAATTTATTGATGTGTATATGATGGACTTGAGGTGGGTAAGTCTGGCAAGTGTATCAACTAGTCAGGAGGCTATCAAAATGTAGATAAAAGATGTTGAGGGCCTACACTAGGGAGTGGCATTAGTAATGGATAGTGGAAACTACTTACTTGAAAAATATTTAAGCCCTATTGGCAATACTTTATGAATGATTGGCTGTGGCAATGAGGAAGAGGGCGCAGTTGTTCCTGTTTTCAGCTGGGTGGATGAAGTAGGATTCATTAACGATGGGGTAAATGTACAGAGTAAGGTGATGGATTGTTTGCTTGTATTGAGTTTGAGATGCATTCCTTCTGCCATACTCCATTGGCCAGAGTAGTCTTAGGCCAGTGCAGATACAAGGAAATGGAAAAGGAATTCTCGAGTTCATAACCTAGTACCACCGTCCCACGTGACCACCCTCTTGGTTCCTCATCAAACTGGAGATGCAGTCTTTTCTCTCTAATGTATGGCCTTTTATTATTTTCTATATAGTCTGAACTTCTCTGGTTCACCAGAGTAAGTGGCCTATTTAAGGGTATTCCTTTCATTATTTCTGGTCCTATCTCCTGATATTTCAGGAAACTTGTTCTTCCAATTGTTCTCCCACACTTTCGAGTGTGTAGCTATTTGAGGAAGGAGATCATAAATTCGGTTGCAGGCATATTGTGGTAGTGACGTGTGCCTTCGAAACCAAGGTTACCGAGTTAACTGACAACTACCCCCCACACAGAGGAGGACACTCTTATAAACGTCCAAGTTTCTAGATCTGGCAATAACTTAATTGTATTTCCACTCGTATTCTTTGTTAAAAACTGGTTTCATAACCTCACCTAGGTATATGCACAACTACACAATTTAGTCTTTTGGTGAATATTTGCTTTTGAGCAATGACTATATCCTGCTTAAAACCAAGACCAAACGTGTTGCTACTGAGTCACTGCTGTCTCATATAGCGACCTCCTGTGGGTTTCTGACACTCTCACTGTTTACAGGAGTAGAAAGCCAGCCCTAGAGAGGCTGGTGGTTTCGAGCTGTGGAATATGTAGATTGCAGCTCAGGGCATCACTACACCACCAGGCCTTCTTTCTAAGGGTAGCGCAATTCTTTGGTAGCTAGTAAGCTGTTTCTGTTATAGTCCCTTTCTGCAGTGAGCCAGTATGTGTGTGTGTACCTTTCCTTTCACCTGCAGAAGGTGTGCTCTCCCTTTCCTCAGGTGATAACTCAGAGTCTCATCAATTACTGCATCCATCTCGAAGTCTAGAACCATAAGGTGACACAGTCATTTCCATCAGGTTGAAATTTATCTCAACCTTATTTAACTGACAACCTACCTGCTCATGTCATCCCCCAACTATATCATTCACTCATTCGCCGCCATCAAGTCAGTGCTGACTCCTAGAGAGGTTATAGGACCGAGTAGAACTGCCCGTGTGGGTTTCCATGACTATCTCTTTGCGGGAGTGCAAAGTCCAGTCTTTCTCCTGTGAATGGCTAGTGGTTTCAAATGGCTGACCTTGCCATTTGCAGTTCATAGCCACTAGGCTACCAGGGCTCCTCCACCCCTCAATATATAGTGAAAGCGCAGAGATAGGATAACAGTAATAGACACTCCCATTTGGGAATAAGTAAGACATGGTAGTTTGTTCATCATAATTATGGACGTCCTATAAGCAGATGAGTAATGTATTGCATGTGTTTGATCTGACACTTTTGAGACCTTTCTTAGTTGTTTCTCTTACTATTTGAGGTCCAGAAAATATCATTAGTAGCCAATGCATCCTAGTACTCTGGGATCTTATGAGCCACTTTTACTATACCGGCAGTAACCCCAAAGTAACTCCTACTTAGTCATCCATCACCTACGAATTTGAATCCCTTCTCCAAAATAGAAGGTAGTTCTCTCTAGTTCTATGTAGTGGTAGGTCTACCTTCACTAATCTCAACAGTTTTGCACTATTCAGTATATCTGTCTCATCTAAAATGTTATAAAGAGGACGTATAGAAGGAAGAGTAAGGCAAGACTACAAATTGAAATTTTCATATTTTGTGCAAGAGAAGTGAGGCGTAAATGATATATTGACGAGAGAACCTCATAGATTTTTACTATAGGATTTTAACCTTGTGAAAATAGCTCTTTAATCTCTGAAAGTTAGGTAACAAATGCGTGGGTTTAAGCCTTAGTACCAAATTCTTTGTTTAAGAAATGGAATTACAATTCTGATCTGATGTGTACGTAGTGAAATTCACTTCTTTCTGGGTGTAGTTCTGCTTGTTTGCCCAGAGGAATCCAGTCATGTAATGCCACATCAAGATATAGCATAGTCCCGTCACCTATCAATTCCCACTGTTCTGCTCTGTAGTCTGCCCCTTCTTTTACCTTTTCCACTTATTGTGTTCCATTTCTAGAAGTTTTCTCCTTAATGTCATTTAGTAACAAATGATAATATCATCATCATGAAAATACTCAGTTATTTAAAGCAGTTGAAAACCTAAGAAACTTTTTTATAGATTTGACCTTGGGTGTTGCAGATGGTTAACATCTTGGCCTATAATCAAAAGGTTCAAGGCCACCTAAAGGCACCTTGGAACAAAGGTCTGGAATTCTACTTCAGAAAAATATCAGCCATTGAAAACCCTATGGAAAGAGTTCTACCCTGAATACATGGGGTCACCATGAATCAAATCTATTTCACTACATCTGAGGTCTTGTTGATTGCACCTGGAGGAGGAAGTGCAGGTGTTCTAAAGACACTAACGGGTGCTTTTGTGTTCCTGCAGACTTGTGTGCTTTACTAATGTGGGCACTGCGTTATTTATTAAAATTATATTTTAAAACTTAAACCTTTCTAATCATTTTAGATATAAAGCAACATTTCATCAATGTGATGTTTGCAAGAAAATTTTTAAAGGCAAATCAAGTCTGGAAATGCATTTTCGGACGCATTCAGGTAAAACTCAGTATGTTTATGTAAATGTACATATACTTTTGTATAGTTATTTCAGAGTAAATTAGAACATTTAAATTTATTGCTCCTGGGTAAATTTCTTACTTTTTTTGCTATTAACATTTTTACTCATAATAAAATTTATGTAATGAATGGGCAATATGCTCTAGTATGTAAACTACAATACTTTTGAATATTTTTTCTTAGAATTTTAAGTAAATATTTTACATAGGAAATTCACTCAACTCTTTTTTTTTTTGTTTTAAGATTTCTCTTTATCTGTGTTGCTTTCTGAAGATACTTTCATAAATTTTTTTGCTTGACTGTTAAGAGAAGAACTCAAGTATGCTATCAGTTCTTGTATATAGAATTTTCCTCTGCGTGGTCAGCTGTGCTCTGTTGGTGAGTGCGGCAGGGTTCTTTGCTTCCACAGTCTTCCAGAGATCATTTTCTAAATCTTTCCCCCTTTTTTTCTCCTTCTGGAAATGCCTCGTTTTCTGAAATATAGTCTGTTTGCTTCTTCCCAAAGTATTGTCCCAGTCCTGGTGACCTTCACCTTCAGATGAACAGTTTTTGTATTTGTTTATTTAAATGTGGTTTTTTTCTTCTTTTTCCTTTTTTTTTTCAAATAGCAAATTTCCATTTATGATGACTGTGTGTGTTTTATTCTTCAATTTTGATATTGTCATGCTGCTTTTTTGAAAGAGAAAAAGAATTGATTTCATAAATATTAGAATAGGAGATTACTAAGGTTATTTCACTAGCAAAATTTTGCAATTGAAGATAAAAGATTTGTAGCTGATGCAGTGCTGCTGTTAGAAACAAAATGATACGCCACTCTAAATGCAAATGCCATAATTTAGGGAAACAAATGAAATGAAGAAACTGTATTACTAGTATTTTCCACATTTGTTAAAAGTAATAAAACTCACTGCTATTAACTTGACTTGGACTTATATAGAGTTTCTGAAGCTATACGTTTTTCCCCGGGGCAGAGACCTTCATTTTTCTCCAACAGAGCTGCGGGTGGGTTAGGACCCCTGACCTGGTGTTAGTTAGCCTCCAGCGCTTCCCCAACAGCACCCCCAGGTTTCTTACTAGTTATAAATAATAAGCGTGACTTTAAATCAGTGACAAACGTAAAGAAGGTTAACTCAAGACCAGTGATGATTTAATAATTGTTAACTGCTGGTATTATTCAGAGGAGAAATTAAATAAGGGCTGGCTTAATAACTGCATTAACAGTTAGGAAAACACTGATTTTTTTGTAATTTGTGACGAACCCCAAACCCATTCCACTGAATCATTTCCGACTCATGGCCACTCTATATATGGTTTCTGGCATTGTAAATCTTTGTAAGAGCAGACAGCCTCAACTTTCTTTCTAAGAGCAGCTGGTGGGTTTGAACAGCCAACTTTGTGGTTAGTAGTCCAATGGTAATATGGAATTTCCATCTCTGGATACATCACAATTAGTTGGAACTAGAGACAAGTCTGTTTCCTCATTGAGAAATGGGGAAATTAGCTCTGTTACAGAATAAGGCCAAGGCTAAGGTTATTTTGAAATAAGGGGGAGAAATTATCTAAAGCAGGTGGCACCAATTGTTTTTTTCTAAAAGGGAAATAGTAAATATTTTGGCTTTACAGCGCAATCTCTAATACAACCATCAAGTCTGCTGTTGTATTGGGAAAGCAGTCATAGACAGAGTGTAACCAAAAAAACATGGCTGTGTTTCAGTCGATTTTTATTTTTATTTCTCAAATTAGGCAGATCGATTTGGACTATGTTGTTCTCGGGTGCCATTGAGTCGGTTCCAACTCGTAGGCAGACCCTACGTACAACATGTTTGAACTCATTGTTGCAGCTACTGTGCAGTTCACCTTGTTGAAGACTTTCTTCATTTTTACTACCCTGCTACTTTACCAAGCCGTCCTTCTCCAGGGACAGGTCTCTCCTGGCACTATATCCAAAGTATGTGAGATGAAACCTTGTCATCCTTACCTGGAAAGAACATTCTGGCCGTACCTCATCCAAGACAGATTTGTTACTCTTTTGGCAGTCCATGGTACTTTCAATATTCTTCTCCAACACTATAATTCAAACGCGTTGGCTCTTGTTTGGTCTTCCTTATTTAGTGTCCAGCTTTCACATGTATATGAGGCGATGGAAAATACCATGGCTTGAGTCAGGCACACATTAGTACTGAAAGCAACCTCCTTCCTTTGCAACACTTTAAAAAGGTTTTGTGCAGCAGATTTACCCAATGAAATGTTGTGGTATTGCCAGCCCTCCACCGCTAATCACGGGTTCAGTATGCACAATTGTACGGTTGAGATGTATATATATTATATTAAAGTCATTGAGAGCATGAGATAGGAGAGTCAAATAATGAAGTCAGACACATTACATGATAGCATTGCTCACCTCAGCCCCGCTTGACGCTCCATGTGGAGAGAGGGGGAAAGGAAGGAGGGCAAGGGAACAAGGGAGCAAGGAGAGAAGAGTGAGGGGGAGAGAGGAGAGAGACCAGTGAGAGCGACCCCAATGGTAACCCAGGCTTATATACCTTTGGGGGACCTGCAAGCCCACTAATTACAGTTAAAGACGTACTTCACAGGAAGGGGTTGCACTATAGTTTATACAGCAATGAGAGAGGGTGGTCTAGGGACATACACACAATAGGAAGAGGAGGGATTGGGGGTATACATGTGACAAGATGGGCAGATCTTAGATTTAGGATGGCAGCTTAACTTTGACCTGTTCTCTGGATCTCCAGAGGAACCATTATCAGTAAAGAGTAAACCTCACCTACCTGAACCAAATAGATGACTGCAACCCTGTCCATTGTCTTTAACAGCAGGGAGCGGGGGACCCTCTGCAGTCTGGCAACTGATCGCCCTCAGGGGGGGAATGCCTGCAAGCACCTGACCTCCCCCCACACAATGCGATTTGGGCTATAATTTTCCAAGTCCTATATAAAGTGATCATCAGTCTTCCTAGATAGTAATTTATAAAGTGACCGTTCCAAGAACTGGTCATCATATCTTCAAATTCATTCCTGATATTTGTAGGCCAAAAACTCATTCAGCATCTTATCCCAACTTTTCTTAACAATACCCATTGGAAAAGAGGATATCCACCCAATCTGCGTCCCTAGTCATGTGTTGGCTTGTTGGGAGTTACAAAGACTTTGGCTGGAAGAACTATATGAAGTTAAACACTACACTACATCTATGCTACACCAGTTGTCTTAGTGAAACATTATGTATTTACTTAAATTGACATAAAACTGAACAAAAGATACCACATACCTGCCATTGAGCAGGCGCTAACTCAGAACAGCCCTATAAGATAGAGAAGAGCCAGCCCATTGGGTTTCTGAGACTTTTGAATCTATGGGCACAGACCATGCCATTATGCACTCAGTGGGAAGCCCACTGTGCCACAAGGGATCCTTAAATTGGTATCAAGCTGACAACAAATTTAGGACTTGATTTTAGTACTGGCTGAATTTTTTATTCACGGTGATTTTGAAAATTTTAACTTCTTTTACTGAAGAATAACGAGACAAATGCAGACATTTTAATGAACAGCCCAGTGAATTTTTATAAATAAATACATTCATGTTACTACTACTTAGTTGGAACTTGAAAAGGGTACCAAGATTCCAAAAGCACTCCCTTCGGTCCTTTCTATTCAGTAGCCTTTCAAAATTAACCACAGTTTTTACTTGTATCATTAAAAAATAGTTTTTCCGGTTTCATCTTCATATAAATGGAATCATATCATTTTGTCTTTTATGTCTGCCTTCTTTTATTCAATATTATGTCCAGGGACTCATTTTTTTTGTTGCAAGAAGTAATCATTTGTTTTTATTTTCATAAGAATATATGCCACCATTTATTTATCCATTCTACTGCAATAGACAGACAGGGGTTTATAGCGAGTTTGGTCTATTTTGGATAAAGCTTCCCAAAACATCCTAGTTTTTTGTATATATGAATCCATTAATTTCTCCTGCACATATACCTGGCCAGGCATTGCTGGTTCATGGCTTATACACATATTAGTAGACACTAGTAAATCGTTTTCCAAAGTAATTTTACCAGTTTATATTTCCATTTGGGAAGTGGGAGAATTCCATTTGCTCCCTGTTTTCACTAGCTCTTGGCCTTGCCTTTTGGTTTGGGTTTGTTTTGTTTTTAGTTTAAGCCATTCTGGTGGTTATATATGCCTATTTTAAAGTGGCATTAATTTGTATCTGTGATAAGATTAGTTTTGAGCACCTTTCTATATGTGTCTAAGCCATATGGATATTCACTTTTATAAATTATTTGATTAATTATTTTGTTGATATTCTTAGATCAGAGTATCTGAAAATGCCATAGATGGGGGCTGTATCTTGGCTTGAAAACCTTCCCTGGCTTCCCTATTGCCAGGAGGCAGAGGTCAGACAGGCCTCCAACCTCCTGTACGCTACAGCTATGCTAGTTTCTGTAATTCATTGCAATGGCCACACAGAACTTACAGATAAAACTCACATATATAGCAGGGTTTTTTTTTAGGGGAATTAATAGGTTACTGTAAGTCAGGATCAGTAAATAGTAGGGATACAGCTACTGATCCACAGCAACACCTCAGCCAACAGATAAGTTTCTTTCTGGTCCTCAGCCTATCAGCAATGTGTCCCTTGACCTCTGCCTCCATGGACCAGGAAGCCTGCCTATTTCTCTGCCTCACAGTTCCATAGTCTCAGCATTGCTCTGCTGTTCTATCTCTTAGTTTCCTTGCCTACGTCTCTAGTGTTGGCCTGACTTCTTTGCTTTGTCCCATATTCTCTATCCCACAGGCTCTGGTGCCTCTCGTCTAGGCCTGCATCACTCCAGACTGCTCTCAAACGTGCTCTTCTCCCGATGGTCCTGGGGTTTCTTTGTGTCTGAGACAGCTCTTATATGAGGGAAGTGTGATTTTTGTCTTTTAGCAGACTATACCCCCGAGGAAA